TTTCCATCTCAAAATCTTGCTATTATGTTGTACAAATGCAATGGAAAGCAATCATGAATATAATATTTAATAACTAGCTTTACAAATAAATGCTGGGTAATTATTATTTTCACTAAATTGATACTGATCCATTCTGCTATTAATTTTAAAGTTTTAAATACTAGAAATGTAAAAATTCAATGTAAATCCATGTATGTATGAAGACAATGATGTATCTACAATTTTTTTTCAACAAATTTCAGTATTCAATGAAATTTCAATTGTTGAAACACGAAATACCCAGCACTGACATAAACGGTGCATCTCATACAACGTAATCTCAGCTCTGATATTTCAGAACTATATATTTTTACCTAGATTTTTACATTCGATGGTCTTGCGACTTCATTACATTTCAAATTTTCCCGCGCAAACACGAGGAATTGAGAACAGTTTGAAAATACGCGCCATACGGCAATGTTTTGAAGAAGGAAATTATACTTATTGTTAGAAGTATATTGCATCGATGTTTTAATGAAAAATGTCCTCGCTTTCATATATTTATATAAATTTCAAGATGTTGGCTCAAAGGCCGGAAACTCAGCCAATGAGAAATACGAATCGCACATTCATTCCGTTTTAAAAATTAATCTTTCTTATAAAATTGCCAGATAAAATTAACGTTTCCTCGTTAAATTATTTCGTAATTTCTTGAAAAAAAAATTAAATATCCATATTAATTGTTTACAGTTGTCTTCCTGCAGCAGGCAATTTTATAAGAAAGATTAATTAAACATTGTTAATGCTGTTTACTGTTATTGCTATTTACTGTGAAAATTCTATTGATTCATTTACACTCTGTTATTTCTATGCACATTAATGCGCGCGAAAATTCAAATTGTTGTTGCTACAAACTATATACATATGTAGTTTCAAATGTCTAAATACCAACTCTTTTTCCCCCGCTCTTTTTTCCGTTGAAGAAAATTCTCGCGTATTTCGTGAATATTATTTTCGAGCATGGTCAAGCACAAAAGAGAAAGGGAAAGACGAATTGCAGAGTCGCAGACGCGACATTGTAACAAGCTAAAAAACCAAACATGTGTTTCTTACGTAGTAGCATATCGAAATCCTGGTACTTGTCGTATCATAATAAGCGTTTAACGAAGCTGTAAATATGTACATAATTTTCATCGTTATTAAAATTCACTATTATAATACTCTTTTCGTTTCATCTCTTGCCCTTCCGTACATATAATTCCCGATGATACATACTAATATTCGTAAGCGAAATTCGTAAAGTGTCGAAATAACGAAATATTTGAATTGAAAATAAATAAATATCAAAAGTGAATGGATTCACTCACCAATAGGCATAAAATCTTCTTTGGAGAAAAGTTGCAAAGAAGTCATGACGTCTCTGCCCTGTGCCGCAAGAAAAATCGCCAGTAAAATGTCCCATCTTCGTGTCACTTCACTTTCATATGCAAATTTTAATACTATTTCACACACTTAACGCACATACCACTGATTTTCGAATGACATCAAGTTTAAACGTAAAATTTCCTTATAAAATAACGGAGCGTTAGACGATCATCTTTTCAGTACGACTTTCACAATACATATGGCGGCGCGTGTACCATGTGATCCCTCTCCTCTGTCTTCTTTCCCGCCAAAAATTCTTGTTCTAAAAAATAAAAATTAAATTATACTAAAATAATTATCTTTTTATTACGTTTTTTTTTTGCTTTAAAATTCTATCAATGAAATGTATATTAAATGTATATTAAATAATTTTTGTCTGCTTTACACGACAGAAGAGACATCTGTAGTTGAAAATCGAACATTGTTCGTTATTTAAATATCTATTAAACGTTTATACGGCTGTGAATATTTAAGTGTTTATGCACTGCGTAAAAGATTTTTAGAATTTGTTTAAGTGAAAACAGTAAGTAGTAAAATTTACGTATCGATTTTGATTAACTCGTAATTTATGTGCGTGCACTTACAAATTCCGTGTATATAACCTCAACAGATTTTAATTAACATAAAAAAAAAAGATTTTAATATTTAAAATATTAAACAAAACTAATGTGCAAAATATACTCTCGTTTATTAAAATAAGAAATCTATATAATATAATATATTTTTTTATAGCCAATTTGTAAACAGTTCATTTTGTTTGTAAGTATAGATTATGTTCAATGCAACTATATTTGTAAGATTTTAATTGCATTTATTTGCATTAGATGGAACCTATGACATTAGGATCACCTGTTGCAAGTCCAGTTCAGAGTCCTGGAAGTCCAGCAACTTCTGCGTATCTCCCAAGTTTTCTCTTAGGTGATACAACAACGGTAAATAAAATTTGTTCAATTACATTGCATAATATTGCGCAATACATCATGTAATCATTTTTTTTTATTAATTTTCAGCCTACTAAAATAAATTTAATGACTCCACAAGATACGCCAAAGCAATTACACATTGGACACAGTGGATTAACTTCTCCACTTTCTCACTATGGTACTCCGGACTATCGTAGTAATCGACAGAAAGCAGTGTTTGGAAGTGCTAATACTCCCAATACATCTCAAATAGTCACAGAAAGCCATACTGGTGGACCCCCAACAAGAGGACTATTTGATTCTCTAGAAACTTCTCAAAATGCATCACCCTACTTGTCAGCAACAAATCAAAGTATAACATGCAGCCAGTCGAAACTTTTGACGACTAGCATGAACAATTCTATATTTAGGGATGGTGCAATGAGTTCTAATACAACTGAATCACAAGGTCTTTTGCAATGGGTGACTGTCTTTGGTTTTCCACCTAATGATATGACTACAGTTTTGGCTCACATCTCTAGTAGAGTTCGTGTAGTGGACAAGCATCCTGCTCCACACTCACAGAGCAATTGGATACATCTAAAATGTGCTTCTGAATTAGAAGCGCAAAGAGCATTCGCGTGTAATGGAAATATAGTGTCTGGATCTATAATGATTGGCGTAATTCCTTGTACAGACGAAGGTGTTATATTAGGATCGGAGAAAGAAAGTCGTTCGAGAATGAACGGAAGTATTAAGTGTTTTTCTAATCTAGGAAGAGTTACTCAATCGCCTGAATACAGTACACCACGTACACCAATGAGAATGCAAAATGCAAGACCATTGGCAGCTGGTTACAATCAAAATCTTAGTCCCCAATCGGTAAGATCGCCGGAGAATGTTCCACAGAAGTCTACAGGTCTAGTTTCAAAAGCAATGGAATATATGTTCGGATGGTAAACTTGGATGGAGACAATTGTACATATTTTCATTAATGACAAATATTGTTTAATGTTCCTGTAATTTTATGTTTTTATAAAAATTGAATGCAATATAAACACGAATAATACGAGAAAGGAATATATATATATTCAAAGATTCAAATGTCCATTACGTTCATTTCTTTTACGATAGTACCAAATATAAATCTTTATAAACATCGAATAATTATCACATAATGTTACATCTAAACTGTGTTTCTTCTAGTACTTCTCCTTTCTACTTTAAACTAATTACTATCGATATTTAATCGTTTCTACTGTAATACAATATAGCTTACGATTAAGAGGCGTTAAAATTACTTTTATGATGTTGAATCACGTATATTGCACAGATATCAGTTAAAATGGTCCGTTTCTTAACATACTCGTGTTATTTAAAAAATATCAGTAAACTTCTTTTTACAAGCTGATCATCAACTTGTATTTTTTTGATCGTGTTATCGGTATAATACACATGAGACTTATGACAATGACTTCGTTTTATAATATTAAAAATTTACGTAAGTGTTGTAATCAGTGCATTCCTCTCTCTTAATTTGCATCTAATATATATGTATATGTATGTATGATTGAAATTTTATACATTTCCTTATAGAAAACAATTAGTATTAGTTCAAACAAGAGTATGTTAAAATGCTCGAGTCTATTCCTTTCCTAAGTTCTCTTCACATGTTTATCACTAATATAGTACAATTGCGCGTTCGTTTTCTTATACTAATAAATACATTTATATTGTCCCACACATTGCCTGGTTATAATTATTTTGGGTTCTCAATAGTAGCGCTACCCAAGTCAGTCATTTTTGGATACTTCACTTTTTTCTTTTCCAACTCATCCTGTGCCCAAAGTATCATCTTGAGCAAGTTATTCAATCGTGGACTGGTTGATTCCTTATGCTCCATTTTCAATATAGCTGCATTCAATTCACTTGCAATCTATAGTTTCACAAAAAAAAGTACTTCTAATATTGGTATTATGAAAACAAATATTACTACATAATTAATATAAATTCATACAGAGAACTATTTTTGCAATCTATTAAAAAAAAAAAATGAGAGATGTCACGAATGATATCAAACAATTATTACCTTTTGCCTGTGAGTCGGATGAAGTAAATCACTGTAGGGACTTTTATGGGGTTCATCGAAAGCTAATAAAGCCAAAGTACGCTCTAATTCGCACAAGATAACGTCATCCGATTCACCAGCTTCGCTCAGCCTATCTTGGGCAAATTGCAGAGCTTCTTCTATTTTCCCTGTACGAATCAACTCGATCAAATGCAGCTGCTGCAGATGGAAATAAAGATATCTATCGTTGTCTAATAATTCCGGGTGCAGCTGGTTCACGAGATCCGTTGCCTCCTGAATACGACCATTTTGAATTGCCTCTCTGATACGAATCCTATCGTCCAACGAACTCAGATCTACCGTGGGTTCCACTCCGGATTCCTGTTGAAACTTCTCCGCGGCTTCCTTGAAGCCTTCTACGCAATGAAATCGATCAACGACTACAATACTTATACAATACACAGCTTAAAGTCACATAAAAAAGAGAAAACGAAAATTAACCTGTGACCAGATAATTCATGATCAGGTTGTTCATGGAGACGCGTTGCGTGTAAGAGTTCTCTTCCAATTTGGCAACCCACTCATCCTTCGTTATGTTAACCTGTTTCTCTGGGTAGCTCATCGTTCCTCGACAATCAGCATTGATGTTCAATGACCAAATATATCGAAGACCACGGCGTACCTGCAGATTCGATCGAATTACCTCGTTAAAGGAGATATCGATGGCTGTTTGACACAACAGCTGATCCCTTATCGTCGTTTCGAGACCGAATAAAATAAAGGCTGCGCTTTAAAAACAATTTACGTCTCCTACAAACGCAACTCGGAGAAAAAAAAGAAATAGAAAAGATATCCACCTCACGATACACGAACAAATTCTGCAAATATCTTCGAAATGTATCTCTCCACGAAACTGTCGTTGAAAAGCTACAAACGATATTCCGTTTAATATTAATAGCAATGAAAATTGACATGCAAAAACGTCGCGTCGTGTAAACGGCGATTTATTCTTTAGTTTGGCGTACCGCCGGCAGTTGGCGCGATAGTTGTAATCATGGCGGATCCGTTGAGTTTGTTGAGGCAGTACAATGTTAATAAAAAAGAAATAATCGAACGTGAAAATCAAATTATTTTCGGAGAATTCTCGTGGCCAAAGAATGTGAAGACAAATTATTTAACATACGGGTAAGTACACTGTGAATAACTGAAAAATTAATTGCGACAGCTGTAACCTCAAAACACGGTTCCGCCATTGGAACAATAATATAACAGTTTACTAAACAATTATAAAGAAACTAATGAACGAGTCATTCAATTTTCGAGACTGGAAAAGAATATTATTTGTAGTTCTCTGATTTTCAAACAGTGCAAATTGTATGTTTTGTTTCTGTTTGTTATGCACTTGGTTATACACTTGTTGGTTATACACTTGTAACACTGATCTTTTGTTTTTTCCTTTTCTTTAAATTAACATAAGTATATGTTTGTTCTGTGTGTGGAGAAATTCTATGAAATACATGAAATATTTAATAAATATATATAACATATAAATATAACAATATGTAATTTATTGTAGATCTGGCAAAGAAGGAACGCCAAAGGAATACTATACTCTAGAGTGCCTCTTATTTTTACTCAAACATGTACAACTTACGCATCCTGTATATGTGCGACAAGCAGCTGCGGAGAATATACCAGTGGTACGGCGACCAGATAGGAAAGATTTATTGGCCTATCTGAACGGTGAGACTGCTACGTCAGCTGCCATAGATAAGTCTGCCCCCTTGGAAATCCCTACTCAGGTTAAAAGAACAGCCGAAGATGGATTGGAAAGCGGTTCTTCGAAAAAGCCTCGCTTTGAGGAGACTCATGTACAGAAAGTTAAAGAGCAACTTGCTGCTAGGCTGGATGCTCCAAAAGAAGCTTCTGTCACAGTGGATAACATTAAGTCTCTCTCTGAGGCGATGTCTGTCGAAAAGATCGCAGCTATCAAGGCCAAACGTTTAGCTAAAAAACGTACCACAATTAAAGAAAATGACGACATTGGAATGGGATCTGACTTACGTGTTATATTAATGGGCGTGGATGACACAAAAGACATAGTTTCCAGGGAAAGACAATGGAGAACACGTACAACTATTTTACAGAGTAGCGGAAAGACATTTGCAAAAAATATATTTGCAATCCTTCAGAGTATCAAAGCTCGTGAGGAGGGCAGACAGAAAGGCCCTACTGCACCCACACCCATTGTTACACCACGTTCTACGCCCATGCGTCCATTACCACAACCGGCTGTATATAATCGTTACGATCAGGAAAGGTTTATCAGACAGAAAGAAGAAACGGAAGGATTCAAAATCGACACGATGGGCACTTATCATGGTATGACCCTAAAGTCTGTAACGGAAGGTACAAATCCAGCTATTAGAAAGCCACCGACCAATCCTTCTGCAACTCCTAATTCCGGTTTGCTGCCGACTTCTGCCGCCAAACTTACACCACAGCAAATAGCGCAGAACAAGCGACCCAGCAGAACTCCTATCATTATCATTCCAAGTGCAAACACATCACTGATCACAATGTATAACGCAAAAGACATACTACAGGATCTGAAATACGTCAGTAACGAAGAGAAACGGACACAGGGTTGTAAACGGGAGAACGAGGTTCTTTTGCAACGTAGAAAAGAAGCTGGACTCACAGTACCATACAGAGTAGTAGATAATCCACAGAAACTTACGAATGCGGACTGGGAAAGGGTGGTAGCAGTATTTGTAATGGGACCAGCTTGGCAATTCAAGGGTTATCCTTTCAACGGCAATCCTGTTGAAATTTTTTCAAAAAGTATGTACAAACGAAAATATAACAAAGGTCAGTAGTAAAACTAGAAGTAAAATCTAATTCGGTTAATTTTTTTCTGTTTAAAGTTTGCGCATTTCATTTAAAATATGATGAAATGAGACTAGATGCAAATGTAGCCCGTTGGGCAGTAACAGTGATAGAACTGAGCCGAACAAAAAGACATTTGGATCGAGCAGCATTAATGGTATTCTGGGAACATCTCGACAAGTACGTATTATATCCATAGAATATTTAAATAAATACAATATTCCTTTACCTAATATCTTATTTTTTTACAGACATATGATTAAAAATAAGCCACACCTTCGATTTTAAATGTGATCTTGTTGAAGACAGAAGAAATTGGATGCGTGATCTTCGCCGATTTACAAAACTGAAACATTCGGAAAATTCAACTATGAAAACTTGGTAGAAGTCGTCATTAACGAAGATCACTTCATTTACGTTCTTCTCCCGAAATGACGTATACTCGAGAAACCAGCACGTACATCGAGAATAGTGTAACAAGCGTAACGTTGTTAATCTTTCGATTCGTTTTCACATAGCAGCCTGAATTGTAAGATTAATATCCTTATGTAACGTACACGTAGTGAAGCTCTTAATACGGTATTGGTTACTCTAGTATAAACTGATGTGCCTATTATTAAGCAAGTAATAAACATTCTTAAATATAGAACACGAGAAGCAACATATTCTGTATGTTTGTAATATGCGTGTACCAAGAAATAATGAACGAATGAGGAAAAAACTGAACAATTCGCGGCATTGTATATTCCCCGAAAACGTTTATTAATGAACCAAATAAATGTACAATGATTTGTACATGTCAATCATGTATCTCAGTGTTTGTCTTTTCCTTCCACCTCCTATTTCAAAGTGTAAATGAAAGAAAAATCCAAGGGGATTATTCGTTCTCGGCACGACTCGTTCAAGTTCCATATAATTCACTGCACGATGGATTGGAGAATTCCCCGTAGGGTTAACCTCAATGTTTCTTCTTCCTAAAAACCGGGGCCAAAGTAAATCGCTTCTGGGCATCGACAGTTTCTCTAGGAGATCGATACTGTTTGTACAGACAATTGAATCTTCCTAACTCGATTACAGGCATCTTATTAGGTTAGCAGTTAAGCGATAGTCGCCGCGAGAAACTTTCCAACCAGTTCCCGAAGAATACCTAAAAAAAGCATCTCCCTTATAGGGAGTTTTCCCTTCCTTCGTGCTACGTGTTATAAATAACATATAAATAACCAAGCTATTAATGTCGTTGTAGACCAAGTTTGAGAGCACATTAAATCCTTATTTATCCCTCAATATCGTTGTAGCGAAACAAACAATAAAAGACACGAGCAATCGAAAACTAATGAATAAAATCTTATAATTAATTAAATTTTTGCTATTACTAATGAAAAGTGTCGACCTTTTAAAAATATGAAATAAATCAATTTTAAAAGATGATCTTAATATCCCTCGGATATTTAAAATATTTAAAATATCTAAGAAAACTGGCCAATTAAAGATCATTAGTACGTATAAATTGAAACAAGCTAATGCGTAGAAGAATCGACTCTCGCGACTTTAAAAAAAATATCACGGCCCAGTCTAACAGATTTTATTTCACGCTCTACGATCAAAGGTCAGCCGGTAGAGAGGCGAGTACGACATTGAGACAAGCGAAGCGTATAAAGAGCACGCTTCGTTTGACCCGGCTGATCGCACTGAACTTTGAAGATTAAGGTCTGCCGATCACGGAAATTCCCCTACCCTAACACCATAAACCACGTAGTACACGCGAAATACGCCAATAACACGTTCAGATGCGCATTATTAATCAGCTCCTTGTCAATAAAGGACACATCAAGAATATCCGGATCGAGATTGTAAATTATTGTAAATCCGCTACCGGTCGCGATAATTCTCGCTATACGAATCATTGTATATTATCCTACACGATAATCAAACAACTGAGTTCTTCAATTGAAATAAAAAAGAAAACTGGGACACATTTGGGAAATTTCAATGACCTCTTCATTCTCCATTGATAAGATCTCTTTCTCTCTCTCTCTCTCCTTCTGTCTTTTATCTAGTGCTCGATAAATGTAATCATAGGAAATAAACATTCGCCAGCGATTTAAGGAAATTTGTAGCTACACTGTGCGCAATTGGGCTGTACGCAGGGGATCCCCGGTAACACTGGCGGTAAATGAAGGAAACCAGGCCTTGGAGAAAGGTGATCGGTAACCTGAGCATACACGTGATCTCTCAACTGTTGCTGAACGCCAGAATTGAAGTAATTGTTATACTGAACGTTCAGAGCTACTCCCTCTTGCTCGTGTTGGCCGGTATTCTTTATGGGTAACGTGGCGCAGGTCGTGGTATCTATTATACTTTTTGAAAACTGATCAGGAACTATGTTCAACAAGCAGTAACCGTCCCCGTACAAGTTCCTGGACAGACTGGAATAAATTGGTGCCAACATAGTGCCGGCGATCTGTTCGTTGGACCTGGTCTCGTTGACACTTTGCGGAGGTCGAAATGCTGAGGAGTAAGCGGTCGAGTTGATTCCAAAACTATCGCTGGCGAAGTATTCGATAGCTTTCAACAGGTCCTGGCCGCATCTTTGCAGCACCAATTGCAACACCGACAGCTTCGTGTTAGGAAAGAGGCGAGCTAGCGTTTCCACCGAAGTTTGCGACACGCTGCTCTCTTTTGTTTCCTCCAGATTGTTCACGTTGAATACCAGGCTCTTGTACTTCGGCGCAC